CTTTTTTTTTTTTTTTTTTTTTTTTTTTTTTTTTTTTGCTTTTGTCTCAAAGTAGTTAATAGGCTTGAGTCCATTTTAATACATCTGTGCCGTGATAACTTACTCAAAGAAGCCTCAGTTCTATTCTCAATTATCATGCGCAAAACCTATCGTCTCCATCTCCTTTGGATGGAGACATAATATATGTATATTTTTTCTTATGGAGGAACTTGAGAAAAAAGAGGCCAAGTACACTCATTTTCAGAGCAGGAAACAGTGAAAGCTGCCTTGGAGATGACGGGTCTCAGGCTGGGTGAGGAAAAGCAGCCAGAGAAGGGATTCTTTCCTTCCGGGCACGACGAAGCCTTTTGCAGAATCCTTCGCGTTAGCTCCCCAGTTTTATGTGGGACTCGGCGTTCGTTTCCTTCCAGCAGAAATGGGGACCCGGCTGCAGGACAAGCACGTCTGAGCACAAAGGCAAGTGTGGCATGTCACATTGCACACCCCGCCCCGTGCAAAGCAGCACGCCGACACATTTCTGTGTCTTCCCCCCTCCGATTTTAAAAAATAACATAAAGACCGTAGTTTAGTGCACGTGCAGGTGACAGCGAAGCCCTCACTCTTGGGGTGCCCGCTGCCAACTCTACCTCCCACGAGCAGGTCTGCTTAGTGTCTGTGCCTTCCTGCTCTGCCACCTTGCACACTTGGGAAGTTTGCACACTCACCCAGGTGCCTGCATCCAAAACAACGCTGAAAGAATTCTTTAGGGGTTCACTGTTATTTCTCAAATAAAAGAACAGCACCAAACACCCCGGAATCTATGGTAAATACGCGTTCAATCATATGGAAATACAGGAAATTATTACATTTCATCATATACACGAGCACGGAAATTTCCCCCTTCCAGATGAGGCGTTACAATTAATATTTTCCATTCCAAAGCAGTAACAGCACAAATCAGAAATACACATGGAGGCTGATGGAGCAAATCTCTGATTGTCTCAGAAGATATCAAATGCCAAACTAGATGGTCGGTTTTCTAGAAAGGATCAGAAAGGCGCAGCGCAAAGTCAAGTTTTAAAGAACAAAAATTGCCTTTCAAAGAGAGGCGAGTGTCACATTAATTTTAGTGGTTCAGTTCTACAGTTTTGCAAATGAAACCATCACCAATCGGGAAACGAATATTTGGCTGAAGAATTGATCGAGAGACTTGGGGCATTCTACTGCACGTTAAGGCAGAGGAGAATTTGGAGCACAAGGCTTTCTGCTAAGAAAATGAAAGTCTATCAGGAAACTGAGGAAGCATGTCACTCCCTGCAGCCGCAGTCTGCCTGCCTGCCACAGCCGAGTTGTGCTGTATCCGAAGTCTTTTTACAGCCTTTCCACGCCTGTGGCCTCGGCAGTAACCCCTCACCCACTACTATTCTTTTTGATTCACATCTAAGGAGAAAGCAGCTGTAATAAAAACTGTGGGAAGGGTTTAGGGTGATGTGCCACATTTTTAGATAACACGGAAGTGCTAAGCAAAGTCGGTTTTGTTTTGTTTTTCTCCTTCCTCGCAGCTGAGATGAGAGCCTGTGCTTCCCAGGCAGACGGTTCTTCCGTGGGCTCGGTAAATTAGAAGCCCTCCAGAAGAGAGGAAGAAGAGAGGACGGGAGCCGATTTAAGACTCAAATGGCTCATTGTTAAATTGCAGGGAGTGTCAAGAACAACTTTTTAAAAAATCAGAATCAAGGTTCCACGATTTACTTCTTTAACAGGATTGCAACAGCCAGAGCTGCTTGCAAAATGAGCGGGCAGCACAGGGCGCGGGGTGTCAACTAGCAGTGGCCTGAAATTGACACACTGGTCTTATTGATTGAAATGTTTATTTTAAAAAATTAAATGTGGCTTCACCCAGTACAGATGAGCCATTTTCTGTACGAGGCAGCTTCCTCTTCCTCACTGTGCCCAAGCGTAGCCTCGGTTTTAGACAGGATTAACTTTAAGGGTAAGGTCTGATATTTTTGTATCTACTCTTTCTACAAAAAGTAAAAAAAAAAAAAATTTTAACTAAATGGATCACCACAAGAAAAGCTAATATTTAATTGCCCCAAGAGAAAGATACAAAGAAGAAGGAACTGATACTTTCGTTTCGTTTCTGGCTTATTTATGGAGTGACTTTTAGTGCGAGTCCTAATTTCCAAAGAACAACAATTTCATCCTCTTTAACCAAAGGCAAGAGGTAATGTGAGCCATCAGGCAAGAAGAGAAACTAACCTGAGAAATAAAAACCTATATAATTTTTACATGATGAATGCTTTTAAAAATATTTCACGATAACCAGGGATCTGGACAGGTATTTCCTCCTGAGCTTGGATGATACACAGAGGCAGGGATAATTAGTTCTCGCCAAGAGTTTGCACTCAGATAATACTTTACCCATTAACCAGCTTCTCGGGAGCTCACTGCCCAGCTGCTGAGACCCAGGTCCTGCCAGCCCTACCTCCCCTCTGGAAACCCCTCTGAATTGGAAGTCTCTCTCACATACCCAGAGCGCTGGAAATTTATAACAGGACTCCAAGGCTCCCTGGGAAACTTCTCGAGTTGGGAAAAAGCTTGTCAACGAACACCTGGATCTACAGATTCGGAAAAATTAACCAGCTGTAGCCAAAAACCAAAACACTCAACCACCCGAACACAGTCTGCAAGAAACACAGAGTTCTTTGACGTGACAAGAAGAATTATAAATAAAATAGCTCCAAGGCAGACAGGCTGAATGAGCCTTTTAAGACAGCCTGCTGGTGCTTCAGACTTTAATACTTAGAACATGAAACGCCAGCTCCGTGTGAGTAATATCCTGGGCTACGTGTGTGCATGGCTGTGCTGCGTGCGTGTGCACGGGCACGTGTGTGCGTGATTGCGTGCATGGCAATAAAAGTTCCATTGCACTTAGGGCTCGGGGGCCAGCCTGAAGTCCCGAGGGAGGGGCCCTGCCACACCTGCAGCTTTGCTGACTTCAGCCCTCCTTACACACTGACACGGAAAGGCATGGAAAACGCGGCCCCCAGCAGACAACACGCTCGGGTCCCAGGGCTTTCCCTGCAATACCAAATGATGTCCGTGAACGTGAGCAAGCAGTGGGCAGAGGCCTGCTGTCCTGGAGCAGGAGCCCTGAGGGAGAGGGTGGCGCTGGGCGGCGGCCTCCAGGGTAACTCCCATGCCCGGCTGGGCAGGGCAATGCTGGGCCACAGTCGTGTCTGGGCCAGGACCGAGACCAACACTTAAGCCCTCGCAGGTGGGTCCTGGAAGCGTCTCCAAGCCACCCTCTCCTGTTCCCCAAACGGGCCATGTCCAAGGCCTGGAAGGGTTGGGGAGCTCTTTAAGTTGCTCCAGCTCCCACTATCCTGGGTCCCCCACCCGAAGCACAGCCGACGCAGAGGCCTTTGATACGGCCTGGACCATGTGGTCAGCGCCAAGCACCACACAAGTCGTCACGGATCACGTTCAGCACAACAAAACCCCTGACAGTGCAGGCTTTCTCTGAAGGTGGGGACAATAGGGCCACACGTGTGCCCCGCCAGCTCTGTGTAATTTAGACAGCAGGGCCTCGCCCCACTTCAGGTGAACCCTCAAAGCTTGGGGAAACTGAGGCTTACGCAAGTGGAACAGTGACTGGATCTGATTTGCCCAGACCTGGGACCCAATCACTCGCACACACGTGCACTGTGTTATGTTTGCTTTTGCTGTTTTTTTTTTAAATAAGGAAAACATCACCATCCACCCCTTCACGCTCCTCTACACATAGGCTTATTTTATAGGTAAGAGTGATTTCCAGGAAAAACAGAGCCCCTTTGAAATCTTGGCCCCAGCATTGCCTGAAGCGGGTTCAGCTCTGGCTGCAGCCCCCTCCAAAGCTCTGCAGCTGGCTTTCGGCCTCTGAGGTGCCACTGCCCTGCCAGGTGCACCCTACCCGTCCCTTCCACGCAGTTTGGGGCACAGACCGAGGATGTAAAGTTGTAGGCATAGAGCCCGCTGTGTCTGCCAGAGTCCTCCCAGCAAGGTCAGCTTTTCCAAGCAGAGGGCTCGTGAGATCACCCTCCCCTCCCTAGTCTGCAGGGGCCAGCACCCAGCAACCGCATCCTGCTGGGCTACGCTGCCAGCCTGGTTCCGAGCCCCACCAGAAGCCCGGCCTTGCTCTGTGAGCCGAGAAGACACCTGCTTGTGGTCTTTGTAGAAAAGACCAAGCGGGGCTAAGAATGGCTGGGAGAATCTCAGAGTTCTGGTCAGCAAGCACTGGAACTGATGACCAGCTCCTGGGATGAGGGTGACCAGGGTTCACTGCCTGTGCCTCAGTTTCCTACAAAGGCAAACTTACCCTGATCAAATGGAAAAGCAGCTCCCCAGAAAATAGAAAGGCTTGGCACAGGCTGGGCCATGCCTGCAACAGAACTGAGGATGGATCAGAGAGCTGGACTGTACGGCCAGCTGCCCCGCGGGGGGCCGGGACAGTGAGGCTCACCTGAGGGATGCTCAGCACCCCTGCACCTGCCTCACTCCGGTGACCGTGCAGCAGCCCTCCCCACGCCACCTCGCAAAGCACGGCGGGGAGGCTCCACACCCAGCCTCACGGAGTCCGAGCACCAGGCTCAGAAACAGACCCGACCTTCCGAGTCTCCCTGGCAAAGACAGCCGATAGCTAACGCTGGGCAGTAAGATGAAATAACTGAAAGCCGGTCACTGAGCCTTACCCAGCAGGGCAGGGGCAGGGTCCAGTGGGTGTTCAAAGGCAAAGGAACCTGGGGTCTTCTGCTTGTTTCCTTTTTGGACCTAATAACAAGCAAAAATGTCTTCTAAGGTTGTTATAAAAACACAAGATCTGAGTCTCAGAAGCTTCTTGGGATAAAAATTATAACCCTCTTCAACTTGTTTTTCTTTTCTTTTTTCTTTTGGAGGTGAGGAGGGAGCCTGAGGGCTGGACTTAGAGCCCATTCACTGAGCTACCTCCGCAGCCCTGTTTGATTACAAGCTGGTAACTTTGTCCAACATTTGAGGGAAAGTAACCGAGGGCAGACAGGGTCACAGTCCTAATGTAAGGCCTGGGTCCTTCACAGCCTCAGCATCCCACGCTTCTGCAGGTGACCTGGGATGCCAGCAGGGCCAGGGTGCCAGGAAAGGGAGAGCAGTGGACGGGCAGCCGCCTGCGGAAGGGGCTGAGGTTTTCATTCCCTGGCCAGGGGAATCTGCATCTGCTTTCGGGAGCGGCTGACTGGCTTCCCAGCAAGGATAAAGGGCAGCGAAAGAACATCCCTCCGTCTCCACCACGGGAGCCGCGCGCCGGCCAGGACAGCGGAGGCGCTCGCGCCGCACCGCGGTGGGCGCTCGGGGCTCGGGGAGCCCCGGCAGGGGCGCGCGGCGCGCCGGGGTCGCTGCATGGGGCGCGTCCGAATGGCCCGGGACCTGGCCTTTGCTTGGAGTCCTGTGAGAGCCCGCCGAGCAGGAATCTGGCTGGGCTGGAGCCGGTCCGGGGCTGAACCTGGGCTGGTTTGAGGTGGGGTCCTGGCCGCATCTGGAGTCTGCGTCCAGGGTTCGGGTCCATCTGGGCCGGGTCTGAGGGCGCATCTGGGATTCTGTCGGTCATTCCGTGTTGATGTCAGGATCTGGGTCCGGATTCGGTTCCACATGGACATCAGGGCCCCACGCCCAGGTCTGCTCGCAGAATCCTGGCCTGGAATCCGGGTCCCGGTCCACATGGACAGATCGCTCCATCCGTCTGCGCCCAGAATCCAGGTCCGATCCCTGAATCCGGGTGCGGGTCCGGGTCGGAGTTTGGACCGGTGGAGACGTCAGGGCTCGGGCCCGTCTGCACCCAAGGTGCAGGCCCGTGCGGCCCGCGTGGACGCGGCGCCCAGCCCGCTCACCCGGTCCGGCGGCGGCACGCGCCCCAATTAGCCGCGGCCAGGCCCCCGCGGAGGGCGGACAAAGGGCGCGACCCCGGGGTCAGGAGTCGCGGGCCGGCGGCCGCTGCTTTGTGCGCTGTTTGCTCAGCGGAGGCCGCGCGCGCGGTGTAGATCGGCTAAAGCGGATTAGGGGGTCGCGGCCCCTCGGGCGGGCGGGGCGAGCCAGCCCAGACCTCCCAGGACGCGCGCCCTCCGGGCCGCAGCCTCGCCGGCCGCGGGGGAAACTGAGGCAAGCTGTCCAGGCCGCCCACTGGCACCGCGCGCGGAGGTCACCCAGAGGCCCGGCAGAGCCTTTGAAGCCCAGGGGGACGTCCTAGCCTTGCTTCCTTGGTCGTGCATTTGCAAGAATTCTGCCCTGTCCAGTCCCGCAGGACCCGGGCATTTGTTTTAGGGATAAGCAGGTCACAGTTGCTTGAAAGTTAAGCAAATTTTAGTGGGAACGGGGGCAGATTTTTGTACATTACAAAATCCTGCAGCACGATGGCTTAAAAAATAAAATTCTGGCCTCTGTTCTTAACCCAAGAGATGCACCCCAGATGTGACTGAGCCAGAGGAGACGTTTCGGAGAGACAGAAGCTCTTGGAAGCAAAAGCTAAAGAAAATAATTACGTTTCCTTTCTTTTTTAAGAAGGCAAATGGTGAGTACTAACCACGAAGCCTTCCATCCAGAGACCACAGTTTATCGGCCGCTATGGATTCAGGATCTCCAGGCGTCTCGGGGTGAACATACAGTCTCTTAAATTTCCTTCCACGCCACACGGGCGCACAGAACGGCAGCTCGGCAGTCAGGCGCTCCCCTCTGTCCAAGGAGAAGGTCCTCTGTCCCCTGCTATCGTGTAGGGGACAAAACACTTTTTAAACCCACATACAGTCTTAACCGAGATGTTAACGCCCATGGTTGTGTGCAGATAGACGTTTGATCACAGACCCCAGCAGAACGCGGTTAGCAAGCTACCAGTGCCGCACCTCTTTATAGAAAAACAAATGATATTTACTCACTACACATGCGTGTCGTTCTAACGAATATTCCTCTGCCTTGTCTCTGTCTCCCACAACGGCAAGGACACATGCGTGCATCTGTATTTCTACTCACGAGCCTTCCAAAACGACTTTTTCCCCTGGTTATAAAAATCCCATGTATGTAAGTAAAGAACAGGAAATCTGACCTGTAAACCACTTTCATGACAAACTCTGAACAGCAATATCTAAGATATAGATAACTTCAGAAATAAGCAGAAAAATACATAGCCTAGCTATAAAGTGCGTAAAGGGGGAAATTCACCTCCGCGCCGTTCCCCAGAAATAGTATTTTGTGATGTTTCCTCCTCGTCTGCTGTCCAGGGAACACAGGCTGACAATCGTGGAGAACTATTGTATCTACACCTCCCCTGCTCGTTACAAACTCTGTCAATGGTATTTCTGGGGTGACACAAATGCCATTATTTCATTCTGAGTGTATCACTGTGTCCCCTGCTCTGTTTCTCGCTGATACTTCTCTCCTGTACCTAAGACTCTAAGACTCTAGCCCACTGTGTGGTGAGTTACAGGGAACCTCTCTCGACCTGCCATGAGGTCGTCGAGGCCACCGCGTCACTCTAAAGGGCGAAGGCTGACCTGTGGGTTCCATGTGTTCTGTCCCATGGGAACCTGGCACTTGTGAATTCCTTTGGGACCGCAGTGGCTCTGGGAAGCAACAGGAAATCTGTTGGTTGGTTTCCCTGCCTCGAGCCTGGTTGTGTGGAATGTTTGCATGCCAGCGCGTGGGGTTGGCCGAGGTGGATTTGGGATTGTGACCTGGCATCCGAGGACTCTGCCCTGGGGTACTGCCCCGCAAGCCACTTGGCGTTCACTCCTGGGACTTGCACTCCTTGGGGGGCTTCGGTCAAGGTCAGAGGCTGATGCACTGGACAGCGCTCAGCAGCCTGACCCGTGGCGTTTGTCTGAGAAGCGCTGTCTTTCTTTGCTGAGGACCCAAGCCACCCGAATGCTTTTGGCCACCAACCCACGCTGCGGGCTCTCTGTGCTTTCTCGGTGGCCCGCCTGCCCTCCCCTTCCTCCCCTGTCCTGCCCGCTTATCTCTCCCACCGCTGTGGCTCTCATGGCCCCGCGCCCCTTGCCCATGCCCGCAGCCCACTGACAGTCTGGCTCTGCGTGTGGCTGGCCTGTCCCATCTGAGCTCCCAGAACCCCAAGGACAGCAGACTGCTACCAAGGGAGCCCAGGCCTGGTCACTGAGCATGTCAGGCCAGAGCCCTGGAAGAGGAGCTACCACTACCTCTGACAAAGAGAAGCACAGAGGGGACCAGGGGACCGAGGCAGAAAAGCACGGTGGTGTTACCCTCCAAAGAATGCTGCCAGGATCGTGGAGAAGGAAGCCGGGGAGCCGTGGCCAGAGCTGCCTGCTTGTGGAGGATTGAACTCTCCTCCCCAAACGTGCACCTTTTAGTATGTTCCAAATTTCCTACCCTGAGCAGCCCTGCTTCCATGGTCAGAACAGGACTGAGTTACTGGTGTGTCTCTGTGCTGCAGGACAGATACAGCTCAGATAAGAAGGCTCAGGAGTCAAAGAGAAATGGGGTCATCCATCAGCCTGAGCGGCCGGGAGAGCTACTGGGAGGACAGCAGTGCCTCCCGTGTCCCCAGCGCCTTGCCCTGCACAGCAGCTCTTCAAAACAGAAAATGAAACCAGGCAGCGCTGCCAGGCAGACACCGGCTGCTGCTGTGCTCCGGGCTGCGGCCCTCGGCCGAGGTGGGCGAGGCCGGGCACTGTCCTCCTTTGAAGCTGGGAAGCTGAGGTTTGGAACAGGGCAGGTTCCACGGCTGTGGTCTCCTGGGTCAGCTCTCCCTGTAGCAGCTTCCAGGCCATTTTCCCTGGGGGTCCAGTGGGCTTCCTGTTGTTCCCAAGGTTGTCCCCAGTGCTAAGAGGGGCGCCCTCAGCCTCGGAGGGACTGGGATGGGCAGTAATTCTGCAGGGTGTGCTTCAGCATAATGCATTCATATGGGTCCCCTCATTGCAGCAGGGGCACCCTGAAGCATGGCCTTGTGCGGGGAGCTGGCCCTGGGGAGGAGACAGTGTCTCAGCCAGGTGGGGAATCTTGTACACAATGGCCTTAGAGGTAAATGCCTCCCCCACCTTGGAAGGAAAAAAGTGCCCAGGAGGAGCAGGACTCGAGGGGACGCTCTCTCCACAAGGCCACTTGCCACTGGGCACACCCCGTTCTTACCCCTGGGGTGAAGAGTGGGTCACCTCCAAGCCCTGCACAGCAGGAGTAGGGACCAATCTGCAAACCGAATTTCTTTTATTTTTCATCCTAAGTATCTTTCTTTAAAACTGGGCTAAAAGGCGAACCAGCACGCTGCTTTCCTCTCTAAAAGGCAATTTCTAAATTTGGACTAAAAAAAAAAAAGTACTCCAGCATGAAAACCCAGTGGCTCTCAGAATGCAGGCAAGATATACCCCTCTTTGTGCTGAACCCATCCTCACGGGCTTAAAATAAACCAGAACAACATGATGTGCTCCGAGCATATGTCTCCCATCGCCTCCTTTCTGGGGGCAGAGGGAGGCGAGCTGTCTGCTGCACACACGCTCGGACCCGTTCTGTCCCCAGAGCTGCCGGCCGGGTCGCGGTGCCCCCTGACTGTAACCCTGAGGTCCCAGTGTCCAGGGGGACTTGAAGAGATCAAGGCTTTTCCCATGCCGGAGACGGCTGGAGCACCAGGCAGGGATTAAATCACAAAGGCAATGAGTACAGAAAACAATCAACAGGTAAGAGTCCTAAATCGGACACATTTATGTCCTCCACGGAAAACGTCTGGCGCTTGGGTTTGTCAGCGAGAAGTCGATGGGCATATTTGCAAAAGACCTCGTATCCTTCTTCCTCTCTTCATGTAGGCAAAATACCCCTGCTTTCTAAAATAAAAACACATGCCACTGTAACTCAGCAAAGAAAAGCGGAATCGCTGAGATAATTTTTATATTAAAAATGAGCGAGAGACTGCTATCTGGACTTCATACCTGGGGGAGCATCTTCTCCAAGTGTCAATAATTTAACTGTCAACTCACAACAAAACGCTAATCCTGTCTCGGGGGCCATACTGGCAGCTTAGAAGGAGAGATTTTAATTGTAATTACTAAGAGCAAACGCTGAGGTTAATAGCAAATGTTGCTTTCAGGGATTCTCCAGACAGGGCTGGGTCATAACTAATTTATTCTTATCTTACCCATCTATCTATGTGCCAGATTAAAATATTTATATCAGTCTGTTCGCTTTAAGACAGGGCGGTCACAGGCAGCAGCTCCAAGGCTGTTCCCTCATTTTTCACAGTTTTAGCTGTTCATTGTTTGCAGAAATGCCATCTTAGAGCGGCGGGTACTTTCCAATGCTGGCGATTGCTCTGAGCGGGGGCAGCCCGCTATGCCCTCTACCAGGGAAACCTCTGCCCGGGCTCCAGACGCTGCTGGGCCACGGTGACCGGGCCGTGCCAAAGCCGCCTCCTGGGAGAGGCTGATGAAGTCACACAGGCCCGAGCCCGGCTCCCAAGAGGGCGGCGGATGTGGCCCCAGAGCCTGGTAAGAATGTGCCCACCGGGTGGCAGGTAGACAGCAGGCAGCAGGGGGTTAATCCAGGGAGCAGGGTGCGGCGCACACACAACCCCACAGGCAGGGCTGGGATGGAACCCAGGCAAGGGAACGGGGGGCTGCAGGGCCCAGCCCGACAGGCACAAACACAGGGGGCTCTGTCTGCCTGCCCGCTGCCCTGGCACTGTGACTAACCGCCCCACTATTGTGAGCCTGAAGCCAGCCCTTTGTATAGTCCCCTGGCGTCTGGGACACAGGCGAAGAGCCCTCTCCAGCAGCCCCCCTCCCCGCACTAGGATGGGCAGCCCAACACCCATCCTGCCCGCTCCAGGGCTGCTGGGCTGGGGGCCTGGCAAACCATAGACGCGTCCTTCCCACAGCCAAGAAGGCCAGCAGCAAAAGAAAAAGGGGTGGAGGGAGGAGAAAGAAAGAAAGAAGGAAGGACAGAAAGAAAGAAAAGCAAATCAAAGCAGAAAACCAGTCTCCCAACTTGGGACGGTGCGGGAGGGGGAGGGTGGGCAGCAGCACAGGGACCTGCTGAGCCTGCACTGCCCAGGCCGGGGCTGTGCGTCCCCAGAGAGTCCGAGCTAAGATGGTTGTGTTCAGCACACTTGGGGTTTTGCACAAGCAGTGGAGGAGGTGCCCGGGTCATCCCGTGTGAACCGCACTGTGTGAGATGCACCGTATTAGAGCAGATGAGCGTGATTACCACAGCAATTCCCACCTCTTGGGACACTCAGGCACAGAGGTGGCCGTGTCTGGCTGGCCTGCTGTTCCCACCGGATGTGGTGGGGCTGTGCTGTGGGTACCGGGGCCGTGACCGGGTCCCAAGGTCCCTCGCTTGCTTGCAGGCAGACAGTGGCCTCTCATCCAAGCACAGCACCACTGTGCCATGAGCCAGCCCTGTATCTGCCCGTTTTGAGGATCAGGACTTGCACATGTGCTGTCTAGAAGTCGTGGCAAAACACACACGGATGCACACCAGCCAGGCCTGCACACACATACGCAATATACAACCGCCAGCCCCGGTCCCCTCCACGCCAGGCAGGGCCCCCGTCCTGCCAGCTTTTGAAAGCCAGAGTCACAGAGCCCCATGATGGTCCTAGAGGGGCCCTGGAGCCAGACTGCTGACCCTGGGCCCAGGACGAACAGGACCAGCTCAAGTCCTGGTCTGGTTTTCATGGACCCAGCACTCTTTTGCCCTTCCTCCATAAATATGAAAAATTATAATTTATGACTGCATTGGATTAAAGACCAATATAACCTAGGCTGAATTCATTACTATAGATCCATTATTTTTATAGCCATTTTTCTTTCTGATTATAGAAGAAATTAACTTGGAAACATCCTGTGGGCCCTCAGCACTGTGCTTGGTGGCACAGGACCTGGGCATGGTCCCCGAGTCCCCACATTCCCAGCTGTGGCCGCTTCCCCTCTGCATGCGGGCCGGCCTGCCCTCGGCTGGCGCCGCCCTCCTCGCTCAGAAGCCTCTCGCTGAGTGCACAGGGAACTCCGCGTTCCCTCCCAAGCACTTGGGAGCACCCTGCGTTATTTTTAAAACACAAAAATCGGTCAGGAGAAAGTCAGGACAGGCTGCAGTGAACAGAGGCTCCCCCAGCGCCCGTCCATGCCCCTGAGTGGGGGGGGGGGGCCACCTTCGACCCGGAAGAGGGCAGCCCAGCAAGCAGGCGCCATAACATGGCAGCAACTGGCACCGCGCCACAGCCCGTGACGCACGGGGCCTGCGTGGGTGCTGCGTGCACGACCCCCTCCACGCAGTCCTGCTCAGGGCTGTGGGCCCAGGACGGTGGCCAGGGCTGCACACAGGACGCCTAGATTTGCAGCGACGCCCTGAGCAGGCTGGTCCCCGTGTGCCTGGGCGGGCCCCCCAGGCCTGGGCCCGGCCCGCTCGGGAAGGTGCAGGAGATGGTTAAAATTCTGCATCCTCTTGCATCCGCCTCCGGAGGAAGCTCTGCTTTTTTTTCCCCAGGCAGGAGGAGGAGGGGGAAGCTGAGAGCAGCAATTTGCAGGCCTTGGGATGTTTTTCTCCTTGACAGCCCGGCCCCGCCTGCCCTGCCTGCCCCTTTCTTCCCCGCGCTGTGGCTTGCCGTGCTGTGCTGAGCCCGCGGCCGGCCCTGCCTGGGCTCCGGCTGGCTCCGTGTCTGCCTGCCGCTGCGGCGGGGCCCACCCCACCCCCGTGCACGCGCGTCCCCCGCGGAGCCCAGGCCGGGCCAGCGGCCGGGGTGGTGGCGGCACTGCCCGTGCCGGCTGCCTGGCACTGCCCTCCTTTGTGCCTGCCTCCTCCACCAGGCTGCTCCCCCTCGAGGCCCGCTCCCAGCCCGGCCGACCGCCTGCTGCCCGCCGATGGCCCACCCTGTGCCCACCTGGGGCGTCCTCACCTTCTGGGCCCCGGTCCCTGGCCTCGGGTCCTGCTCGTGCCCAGGGCGCCCGGCCACGTCCTCTGCGCCTCTGCTGCTCGCCCCACCCCGCTGCCTGCGCTCGGCGGCGAGCCTGGCACGGTGCCAGGCTGCCTGGGAGCCCAGCCCGGGCAGGGCGAACTTTCAGGCGAGGGTGTGCTGGGGGGTGCGGGGGCGAGGCCGGTGCCAAGGGCGGGAGTGGGCCCCAGGTGCCCGGCGGCCGCCCCCAGCCTCTGGGCCGGCCGGGCCCCCTGCCTCCCGGTCTCCTGAGCCCCATAAAGGCGCAGACAACGCAAGCAGTTTAGTCAAAACAGTCATGTGCGGAGCCGGCAAACAAACAAAAGCCCTTATTTATTTATTTAGTTCACACACCCAGATAAGGAGGCGCCTTTTGTGCACATAATTTCACACACAGCAGAAAGGAAGCGATGCCACGACGCGGCCCGTAGCCCGCGAGCCCCGGACGGCCCGCCCGGCCTCATGAATAATTGTGTCGCCTCGGCCTGGGCATTTCCATATTTAAATTGGGCAGCAGCATATGATTAATTAAGAAGAATAAAGGCAAAAAGGAAGAAAAGCGTGGGGGTGGGGAGCTGGACACTGTGGCCAGCGCGGCGTGCCAAGGTGCCCGCTTCGGCTTAACTCCTCCCATGCCAGGCTCCAGCGGGGCACCGCCACGGAGGCTCGGAGGGGACGCTGGCAGTGTCCTTGGCGGAGTCTGCCCCGCGTGCCTGCCTCGGCCACCTTCCTGTGCCACGGGCCCTTCCAGCTCCACAGGCTGGCACTGGACGTTTCCCTTCGGTCCCTATTCAGAGGGCCCCCGGGAGTGCCCACGGGGACAGTTGCAGCAGGGACAGCTCTGTCCCCCATCACGCGTGCACACCTCCACCTCCACTCAACTCCCACAAGCTTCTCCCCCAAAGCTGGCCCTAGAGCCCTCTGTCCCAGAGAACAGTTGGCCCTCTGGGGAGAAGCAAAGGCCATGGGGTTGGGGTCCCACGTCACCATGGTTCAGCCCTGTCCTTGCCAGCTGGACAGGCTTAGGCAAGGCACCTGGCCTCTCTGGGCCTCAGTATACCTGCCTGTGAAATGGGAAGGGACCAGATGTATGCCCTCCCTGTGCCAAGCAAGGAGGGGCCTCTGACAGGAAGCACCTCAGCCAGAGATCAAGTCCAGCTTGGGCCAGGGTATCCGGCAAGTTGCTGAGGAATCAGCCTGAAGCCATTGAGTCACAGAGTTGCACTGAGGGGAGGGCTCTGGAGCCTCTTGGGGGTCCCCTAACGTTACTGGTGCCCCTCTTCTGCAGGTGGGGAGGTGCAGGCATGGCAAGGCTGGCAACGTGCCAAAGCTCTTGCAGAACAGTGGCCCAGGATTCCAACTCAGAACGGCCCTGCCTGGTGTTGGAGAAAGTCTTCACCTTAACCACGGCATCCCGGCCTTGTTCCAGATCACCCCACAGCCCCCCACAGGGCCAGGGCTGTTGGCTCCTCCAGGTAGCTGCATGTCCTGGGAAATGAATCAACCCGCGCTGTTCCCCGACCTCTGCCCGGAGGAGCGATCATCCTGAGGGCAGAGGCCCACCCACAGGGCTTTGCCAGGCCCGGGGCCAGGCCCTCTGTCCATGGGACAGCCCAGCACACGTGCCCTCCTCTGCAGCCCTCAGAGTCCTCACTTGTATGACGGGGAAGGAGCCTTTGCATCACCAGGGCCTGGGAGGGCCCCCCAGAAGTGCATCACAGCCGGGGAAGAGGCACACACACAGGGGGACCCAGGGCCTCAGTTTCCCTGACCTTCCCAGGTACAATCAAGCTCAAGCTCCGGACTCAAAGCGGGAGGGAGGTGGCATCTCTTCCAGGCTTGTCTCAGGGAAGGGTCAGGTCCCGGGTCTCTGGGTGTCACCCTCTTGAGGTAGTGCGGACCGCGTTTCTTTGTGGTCAGAAGGAGCCCAAGTCAAAGGCGTGGGCATTGGGATTATCCCGTTGGCCCAAGGAACTGGTCACCCTGCAAACCAGAGAACCAGCTCCAGCTGCGGTCAGAGACAGACGAGGGGACCAGGGCCCAGGGACTCAGGAGGCCCCTGAACCAGAGCCTCAGAAGGAACCAGCCCTGCCCTCAGCTTGGCGCTATCCCGGAGAGACCCCTTTCGGCCACCTGAAACTTTAGACTGCCCAAGATGGCGCGGGGGTGCAGGTCGTTGGCCTGGCTTAGCTCAGCATGGGCAGAGCCCTGCACACCTTCCCCAGCGCCATGTGGGAAAAGATAATAAGTAAACTTTGTGGTGCCAGCCACATGTCAGTGGGAGGCTGTTAGGCAGCCCGGGACACTAAAGTCCCCTCCTCCACCCCAGTGTGCCCAGGGGACGCGGCCATGTGGCACTCACCTGCTGGACCCGGGGGGCCGTGGATGAGCGTGCCTTGTCCCCCCACTCAGGGCCTTCAGCCGGGCAGACTGACACTCCTCTGCCAGGATTCTAAGATCACTTCCTGGGGATCCGCTTCTCCCCCTCCCTCCCCCACCTTCCCCTCCCCCTCCCCCACCTTCCCCCCCTTCCCCTTCTCCTCCTCCTCCTCCTCCTCCTCCTCCTCCTCCTCCTGGCCATCTAGGAACCCTTGCCCTGGAGTGGGCACCATGCTAAAGGCTACATCCTTCCAACACCACAGCTCCATCTTTCCAGCTCCAGCCGGACGGGCGAGTGAGCTGGGCGGCCTATCTGGCCACCCGTGGGCCCTATCCATAGGGTGGTGGGACAGGGGCTGTTTTCTGTGCTGTCCTCCTTATGCCAAAGGCACAGAACCTCTGGTGTCCGCGCGTTGGGCCGGGGCCAGGACCTCTGCTCATGGAGCCGGGCTTTGTCTGTGCAGTGCCGGTGGCAGATGCCAGGCCATCGGCATGGCCACCTACCAAAGACTGCAGCTCGGGCACCTGGGCAAGGCAGGTCTTCTGAGATGACCCCAGGACGGGAAGGCCTGGGTCCACCAGCTTAGGAGACAGCAGCCTTCATGGCGTTGGCAGGAGAGGACATGGAAAAATGCAGGAGGAGCCTGGCGCCCAGTAAATAAACCAAAGAGCAGAACAGAAGGTGGATGATGGGAAACAGAGAGATTGATCTTTTGCAAACTGGGAGGGACCAAGAGATGGACGGAGGGTATGCACAGGGGACCAGGGTACCACGCGGTGACCAGCTGACCCCGTAAGTGTCATCGTTAAGTACTGCAAACAGGGACTCACAAAAATACAAACCTAAAACAGGATTGGTTAAGAAGATTCACCCAGCAGGACTTTCACTTGCCAGTAAAACTGCTTTGCCCCTCAGAGCCTCCTGACACAGGCAAAGCGTGACGATCAAATATTCAGTGAACTGCTCAGAAGGAAAAATGATCTACAGTAACCAGAGGCCCAGATACTGATTAAAAGAAAAAACAGAACAAAAAAGACAGGTCGCTTTCAGCAGGGCCACATGTCGCCACCTTGTGCTGGCCAGCAATGGACGGCGAGGCTCTGACACTGCCCGGCTCCATGTTGCCAGCTTCTGCCAGGGTCCCGTTTATCTGGCCTCACTAGCCCCTTCTCTTCTCATATTTTGTCCAAGTGTTCAGACTTAGAGACATGAGGGCGCAGGCCCAGCAAACCAAAGCCCAAGTGCGCAGTCGGGTTCAGAAGGAGGCGGGCGGGCAGGCTGGCTAGCTCAACCCTGGGGTGCTGGACGCGCTGCAGGAGAAGAGGGTTCTGTTTTGTAGACTCGCACATACCGACCATTTGCGGTGCTCTTTCTGGAGACTAAAACCTGCACCTCTGCCAAGTCCCCATGTTTCCCCAGGGAAAACCAGACATCAGACCTGGAGCCCCTGGCCCACAGGACAGCCGTCTCCTGCCGACGAAGGCTCGGGAGGGTTCCTTCAGCCCGCAGCTCCTGCACATCCCCACCAGAGCTGCAGGGAGCTCCCCGTCCCGGGTGGCATTCAACAGACTGAGCAGCCAGGGCAGCAGTGCTGTGCAGGGGCCCCCTTCCCAGATGGGAGGTCTGCCGGACACCCTGACTAATGCTTCTCTCCCTGCCCAACACTGGTGGTTTAATCCCGGGCCTTCCCCTGAGCTACATTTCCTGGCCCTTTGCAAAATCTATTTTTTTGTTTTTAAAGATTTGAGACATGGCCTCACTATATTACTTAAACTGTCCAGGCTGGGCTTGAACTTGTGATCGTCCTCAAGACCAGGGATGTAGCTCAGTGCTAGGACACTTCTCTAGCACCTGTGCCACCACGGTTCAGATCTCAGCAACAGGAAACAAAAAACAAAAAAACCTTGTGATCCTCCTGCCTCAGCCTCTTGGTGCTGGGATTATAAGCATGCAGCACCACGTGGGCTCTGGAGCCACCAGTGCACGGGGTGTCCAGCGGCTGCAGAGGCTTCTCAGTCCCCAGTGCTCAGAGCAGGATGTGGGCACGAGAAACGAGCTCGGAGGGAAGAGGAGACACACCAGCCACTGAGAGTGGAGGGAAGATTCGGAGACAGGGCTGGAGAAGGCAGGAGCGGCCCGTCCGGCCCGGGAGCACAGCAGCTACGCCAACTGTGTGCTTCGAACGCCGAGTCCATGAGGATTGCTCCCGACCCCCCAGCAACACATCTGAGGCACAACAGCTAACGACCCGTTTGACAAGAAGGTAAACTGAGGCTAAGAGGCAAGATCAGCTCACTAGGCCTGTCTTGCCCCAGGCAGAGCTGACCCTGCTGGTCACCACTACGCCCAGGCTTTCAATACCGGGGCCAAGGGCAAGGTTCCAGTTCAGGATCACTTTCCTCTATCACATGCCAGCTGCTTGGGAGCAGGGCACAGCCACTGCCCTGGTATCCAGGGCCCCGCAGCCCTGGGAATCTCACCGCAGAGGACTCTGGGTATCGTGTGGCCTGGGGTGGCCCAGAAGGTGCAGGTGCTCCCTGGAGGCTGGGAGCGAGGCCTGCGGTGGCTTAGGGCCCTGGTTAAGTTCAGAGGGGGACCAGGCTGGGGTGGGGGAGCAGCAGATGCCCCACACGATTCCCCAGGGGGCCTGGGACCTTAGGGGCCTCTGTCCACAGCTGCTGTGGGTCCCTCGCCCCCGCCATGCCCCTGGCACACGGCTGCCCCATGCAGAGCAGGCAGGGTGGTGGCAGTGGCACCCAGGGTGGCCACGGACTGCACTCAGGCTGGAGCAGGGAACAAAGCCCAGACCCCCAGTTCCTCTCGCAGCGCTGATGGGGACGCAGGCTGCAGTCCCAAGCCCCAGTCCTGGCTGGGTGCAGAGCCCCCGGGCCTTGGAGGGTGGCACCTGAGCACAGGGCGCGGGCAGGGCCGCACGGAGAAGCTGAGGGACCCCGCGTGATTTTTCCCCTTTAAGAGCCCTGGCTGCGCAGCTGAGCCCCGGGAGGGAGATGTCGGGAAAGATTCCCTCCCCAACTTCCCGGCCTTTGTTCCCGACCAGCCGGGAGGGCGTGGGGCGGGGCGGGGCGCAGCTGCGCTGCAGGCGGCCACCCTGGGGCGCTGCCCACCCTGCAGAGCGGCCTGGCGACCCGCCGCTGCCGGCCACTGCTCACCTGGTCATCTCCGCGGGGTCAAGTTCATGGCCGGCTGCAGACTGTCCCCAGGCTGCCGGGCTGTCACCCAGGCCTGGCCACCCCAACTTTGTGCACAGTCTCTGAGCTGGAAGTTTCCGGGCTGCACTGACGCTGGGCTGGGTTTCAGCAGGACGTCTGAACTTGGCAACAAACGGAGAGAGGGAGGAAGAAGCCAGGGAAAGAGGGCCACCGGGAGAGGCCCGGAGCCCCAAACTCCACCGTGCTCTCGCGCTCTCGCAGGCAGGCAAGCAGTTTTGTTGGGTTTTTTTCTTAAGCTGTAAATGAGAAAGAACACCCCATTCCGGACAGCCCCTGCCCGGCCCCTGAGATGTGACAGCCCAATCCCGAGGACACCTTTGGGTCCACCGGGCCCACTCCCAAGGGTGCCGGGGGCAGTCGGGGCAGATGGAGGCGACAGTGGGCACCTCACCGCAGCACTGCTGCTGCCCCCCTCCGGCAACCCCAGCGCACGGCCCAGCAGAGGGGCCAGTTGGGGTGCCAGGCCGGGGTCAGGTGCTCAGCATCTGCAGGCTGGCATTGTGTCCCCAGTGTCCCCCAGGGGCTCCAGGGGTGGAATTCACCCTCTCCCAGGGTGCATGGGGCAAAGCTTCTTACTGTGTTTCCATGGTAACAAGACTGGGCTCTCTGTTTCAGTTTTTTTTCCCTTTCTTACTGGGCCGGTGATCCCAGGCCTTCACCTTAGGCTACACACCCAGCCCTTTTTATTCATTATTTTTTATTTTTAAGGCAGGGTCTAAATTGCCCAGGTGGGACTCAAACTCATGATCCTCCTGCCTCAGCCTCCCAAGTGCCACATACGCAAAAGGACCCACTCCCGCTGCTTGGCTGGCCTCCAGCTTCAAGTTTCTATCTTTCTTTCCCTCCTTTCTTGCGTGTGTGCGTGTGTGTGTGTGCGTGTGTGTGTGTGTGTGTGTGTGTACTAGGCATTGAACCCAGGGCCTTTGCACGGAGCTGCATACCCCAATGCATTTGTCTGTTTTACAATGAGACAGGATCTCAGGGTGGCCACACCACCCCCGCAGGGCTGGAACTTTCCAGCCCTCTGCCTCGGCCTCCCCTGCTGCTGGGCTCAGGCCAGCACTGCTATCTTGTCTTGGGCTCTGCACACTGTGTAGCTGACCCTGACCTTGGCTGTGGCTCACGCTGTCCTGCGGAACGGAGGTAAATGCCTGTGACTTGTGTGTTTCTTTTCCTAAACTCTGCATATGGAAATCCAGACCCTAAGCAACCAGAATAAACAACCTTTCAGTTGAAGACCTCAGTGTTTAAGAGGCTGGAAGCTGGGACGATAGCGCAATCTGGGGAGCAGGAGTGGCCCCTGTGCCCTGAGTTCTCATCTGGGAGGACGCTGGGCCCCAGGTCCACACACTCTGGGACTCGCCCAGCAAGCAGCACAACTTTGAGAATTTCTTTACGGCTACAGACTCGGAGCAGAGCTGACCCAGGGCAGGTCGTGGTGACAGGAAGTTCCGTGTGCGGCCCACACGGGAGTGGGGCTGCTGGCGTTCCGAGTGTTTCCCGAAGCTGGAAGAAAGGGCTGTTTTCCTCCTAAAGTAACAGTAAAGGGATCTTTAACCTGGTATAAACTTATACAAGGTATGCAATTCTGGAAACATCACATAGCAGCCTATAAAAATACACAATTTTATGTTTTGTGTATCAGCTAAAAGTGAATTATACTTACAAATGAACAGATACATGTAGCAAGGGCTGGCAGCACAGGTCTGTAATCCCAGAACTGTGGGAGGCTGAAGCAGGAGGATCAAAAATTAGAGCCCAGCCTGACCAACTTAGTGACTGAGTGAGACCCTGTCTCAAAATAAAAATTAAGGCCTGAGGGTGTAGTTCAGTGCAAAGGCCCTGGGTTCAATCCCCAATACCACACACACACACACACACACACACACACACACACACACCACACACGTGGACTAAGCTGAGGCCACCTGTCCTCCAGGACTGCAAAGTGTGACATTTGCGGTATGAAAGTACCAGGGACAAAAGCTTCACATCACACCCCGTCCTAACCTTCTGTGCCTCCGCTTTCTCATGCGGGACTTGTTTAAAAACAAATTATTTTTAACAGTTCCAGGCTCTTATTTTAATTCCCACAGGCTGTTGCGGAATCTGCTCAGTCCGTCAAGGTGGGTAAAAGATCTGAAGCAGTCAGGCCTCCCCGTGACACCCTGGCACCCTGGTGAAGCCGGCTGGGGCCTGGCAGGGTGGGGACCGCTGTCGGGGGGTGGAGATCATGGGAGGCGGGAGCCCAGCCAGGCTGCTGGTCCAACTGGCCAGGAAAACAGCTCCGGTCCACAGCCCCACGCTGGGCTGCTCAGCTGCTGGGAGCCAGGCCTCTGTGGACTGAGGTTGGAGGGCAAGGCAAGTCCAGTCTGGGGTCAAGTCCCTAGCCTGTGGTGACTGGGCACAAGTTACTTCTCCTGAGCCTCAGTTTCCCCCAATTTGGACAAGGATTGGTGGTAAACAAGAGCCCTGAGCTCACAGCCTGCACAGGGTCACTGGCACACAGTCCAAGAGGCAGGAACCGGAGCCCAGGCCTGCAGTGGACACACATAAGACGGGGCCCCAGGCCCGGTGGCCCACAGAGGATGGTCGCCTGCCACACCCACAGGGTCCCTCCTTCTGCTCTGAGAGCCCACAGCTGGCCGCACCCAGAGAGCAGGCCACACTGCGGAGAGATCCAGAGGGGACCAAAGCCAATGGCCAGCGTCGGTCCCCCACTCGGAGGCTCCCCTCTTCCGGGATGCCTTCAGTGCCCTGCCCTGGAGCCAGCCCACGTGTCCCAGGCCCGCTATAGCCAGGAGAGAGAGAAAAAAAGACAACAAACAAGATAAGCTTGATCTTACATAATTTGTTTATAAAAAGAAAAGTGTTCATTAAGGAAAACTTGGGAATACAGAAAGGCGCAAAAACAAAAATTACCCATGAGGCAATCCTGGGTGCCTTTTCTTGGAAGTCCTTCTGGTGTATTTTCCAAACCCTATGTGCACGTGCACATGTATGTGTGTGTACACTCACACGTGTACAACGGGGCCTGCAGAGGGTATATGTATATATGTGTATGTGTTTATGTGTATACTTAGATCATACTACAGGTCATTGTTAAACTCCTTCTTTTTCTGAGACGGGGTCTCTTTATGGAATGCAGGCGGTCCCTGCACTCAGTATGCGGTCCAGGCTGGCTCTGAATGCGTGGTCTTCCTGCCTCAGCCTCCCGAGTGCTGGGATTATAAGCCTGTGTCACCATGCCTGGCAATCTTTTCTCTTTCATATGGTATATTTATCACTCAATATTGTTTCTTATAAGGCTTACAAAATAAAAGCTCTCGACTCATTTTTAAATCCTGCTTTACTGAAGTATACTTTCCCCACGTCAGGCCCCTCACTATCCCCGAGTTGTTAAATGCGGGAGACTGTGAAACCACCTTGGCCAGAGGAAGAGGCCTCCCACGGTCACCCCGCCTTCAGACCCTCTCCCAGTCCCGCCTGTGGCCCAGACAGGAGCCCATCTGAGCCCTGAGCCCGCTGGGCAGCTGCACCTCTAGGTGACCACGTGAAGAGGGCAGCGGAGCCCAGATCCTGCACGGCACGCACGGCCCCGGTCTACGTGGCTGCGTCTGTCCACTGCGCCTTGGTCCTGCTTCCCGACATCCCCCTGCTCGCCCCAGAGCCCCCCTGTCTACCGAGGGAGGGGCGGGTGGCTGCTGAGTTTGATTTTCCGGTTACCATGAGTAGAACTTGGTGAACGCCTGGGTCCCAGCTACGTGCTCCTGCACCCTGCTTACTTGTGGTTCTGTCACGAGCGGTGTCACCGTGGGTTCGGGCTAGGTCTTTCCCTTTTGGAGATGGGAAACCAGGCCTCAGAGGGACACAGGGTTGAGCCAGAAGCAGCTGACGGGGGACAGGTTGGGAACAAAACTCGTCCTCGGGGACCAAGAGCCACCCACTTACACACCTGCCTGTGTCAGAAACGCTCCAAATTCTCCTAGGAGGATAGATTTCTATGAAAGATTTGGCAGTTTAGGTTCATCCTGGCCCCCAACAGGACTCCAGATCTTTCACTACTTGGTACCCCTTTAAGGGCTGACGGGTCCCCAAGGTGCCCACTTCCACAGAGGTGTTGCAGCTGCACTGGGCACAGCCGTGTGCAGCAGGGGCAGGATGAAAAAGTGTTGGTCGGCACAGGAATCCTGGGTGTGGGCAGCAGGGCTCCCGGAACTCTGCAAATGCCCGGGCCATGGAAATAGCTCATAACGGAAACTGCCACCGAGTCTGACTCCGCCTGCTCAGGAAAGGGCTCCCAGGTAAGGGTCCCGCGCCACCATTCCCACGACCTTACTTGGCCCTCAACAACCAAGGATGGTTATTTCCACTTTCCAGAGGGGACGCTGGCGGCCCAGAGGGGTGAGGAAACGTGGCCCAGGCTGCCCGGCTCTGGCCTCCAGGTCCAGGAATCCTGTGCCCTGCCGACCTAAGCCCTTGCCTCCTGGCTTAGATGGGTTTCTGGCTTCGCAGCAGCTAGCAGGCCCGCAAGAGCAGACAGGGAGGCTCCAGGCCCGGAAACTCCTGCTCAGGCCCTGAAATGGCTATCCCATCCCACTGCCTAGTGCCTGGTACCGTGGAAGAAAGAGGTGTGGGTCTCTGTTGTGGGGCGGCCCTGGTTCCAAGGCCTTCCTGTCTTGAGGTCAGCAGGCTGAAGGAGGCCTCTGTCTATGGGAGACAAAACCAGACAAGGAAGAGCCCATTCTCTGGAAAACATGTGTTTTCTGTTTATAGAGAGGCCTGTCCAGTTCCCATGCTTTGTTCTTTAATATGGAGCCAAAAAAAAAAAAAAAAAAAATCAAACTCGCAGCTTCCTCTCCGAGGTACGATGGAGGTTAGGAAATCTGGACGGCTGAGCTGAGCTGAGCTGGGCCTCCAGCCTGGGCCTGGCACCCCGGGTGCTGTCTGCTGCCAGCGTCCAGCACGCACAGCCCACAGCCACAGCAAAGCAGGGAGGGGGTGGGTGTGCACGGGAGGTGCCCTCAGTGGACCTGGGGCAGGGGTGCACTGGGCTGGCTTCTCTGACATGGAGAGGGGGTGCACGCAAGTGTGTGTGTGTGTGTGTGTGTGTGTGTGTGTGTGTGTGTGTCATGCGCATGCGCACACGGGGCGTCCTCCCACGCACACATCCAATTCCTGACATGGAGAGGGGGTGCACGCAAGTGTGTGTGTGTGTGTGTGTGTGTGTGTGTGTGTGTGTCATGCGCATGCGCACACGGGGCGTCCTCCCACGCACACATCCAATTCCTGGGTCACAGGCCAGACACACTTGGTCCAACAAACTGGCCGTGTCAGACTCACCTGCTCCTTGAGGCCCTTTCCTCAGAGCCGCAGAGGTGTCTTTTCCCTTCCTAAGCAAGGGGAGGCAGCCTACAGATGGCCCCCAGCTTACACGGGGTTCTGGGTTTTGGACTGTGTCGTGGTACTGGCACTCAAACAAGGGGCATTCAGTAGAAACAGTACGCGCAAATTTGACTTCCCGCGCTGGTGCTAGTGGCACGGTGCCCCTTCTAGAGCTGCCCCGAGACCCCAGGATAGCACGGTGCCTGCGCAGCGCTCTGGCAGGGCAGGGGCAGGCCGTGTTTTCAACGTGTGATGTTTTTACGGTGGTTTAGGAGGATGCTCCCACCCCAAGTCCAAGATCAGCTGTACTTGGGGCTGCAGCGGAGCCAAGGGACTGCGCTGGCCGCCGGCGGGGCCGGCTGCAGGAGCCACGATCCCCGGCTGCCCGGCGGCACAGGGCAGCACCCAGGCTCCCCTCGCTGCGGAAGGGGTGACTGCGGCGACGGCACGTGACAGCACTCACACGCCCGGGCCTGCACCCGCTCGCGGCTAAGGCTTCCGACAACCGCGCTGCTGCCATCGCCGGGCTTCCCGCCTTCCGGAGGGGGCGCTCACTCCACCGCCGGCCTCGCTGCCACCGCGCTCCTCCCGGCCGGCCGCGGCCGGGCTCACGGTCGAGAGGCGACAGCAGAAACCCCGGCTCGAGGGCGCCGTCCCTTCGCCCGCCCACCCCGGCGAGCCGGCGGAGCAGATACGGAGCTGACAGCCCAGCTCCCGGCACCCCGCTCCCCAGCCTGGACCGCGGAGGCCGCTGGCGCGCACACGCACTTCCGGGGCCTTGTCCCGCCCCGGAAACAGCGCGAGGCGCGACGTGCGGACGCAGCGCCGCTGCCGGTGTAGGCGGAGCCTAGCGCTCGGGGCGGGGCCACTGTGCCCGGGCAGGGCCTAGCGCCGCGGACTCAGAAAACCAGGACGCTGGAGTGGGTGCGGGTCTACGCTGCAAGGCAGCGTGGGGGCGGGGCCTAACTTTGGGGCGGGGCCTCTGCGCGACCTGGGCGGGGCCTCTGGGCAGCCATCTCCGATCTCCCCGAGAGCGAGCGGTGCGGCGCAGCGGCATAGCGGGGTGGGCGGGGACGGGGCGGGGCCTCGGGCGGCCGGCCTGGAACACTGCATGGAAGGCGGGGCGGGCGGCTGCGCTGGGGGCGGTCCGGGGGCGGAGCTTAGGAGGCACCCGGGGAGCCTTGGCGCTGGACTGCACACGCTGGCTAGGTTCCGGTGCTGTCGCCTCCCGCCGGGCTAGGCGGTACTCCGCCGCCCTGGCTCGGTGTCGCGGAGATCCGTCAGCTTGATTTCGTTTAAATTGGACTTTCATTTAAATTAGATTTTTCTCTTCTAAAAGCGTAAATACTCCCTTTCTCCCTAAACCAGACAAAGCAGCCGGTGGAGAACGTGCAAAACCAAGAGAAAGAGGAACCTTGCCGTGGCGCGCCGCTCAGGCCCCTCTGGAGTCTCTTTTTTGGTAAATACAGTATATTGTTTTTTGCGTAATTGGATAACACTGTGTACCCTTGTGGATGCCTTTAAATAACTGATTTTTTTTCTGCAAAAACCACGAGTGTTATTGCAGAAAATTTGGAAAATTGAAGAAAATACAAATAACCTGATCACAGTGTCAACACATTTGGCGCTCTTGCGTCTTTTTATAATTACATTTGTAACCTTGACAGAGCTAGTTACTTCTCCACCTCCTGTTCCCTTCCTGGCGGTCACCTCCAGGCTGTATCTTGAGTCTCTGTGGAAATTCCTTCAATAAATGCGTAAATACGGAATTGCTGTGTTGAAGAAGAAGCTTTGCTCTGAATGTTTCCTGGACCTACCCCCTTCTTAAATGTGTTTGCTAACAAATGAGAAGCTGGGCGGTGCCTGGTGAGATACACATGTAATTCCCTCTCTCTGGGAGACTGAGGCAGGAGGCTGTTGAGTTTAGGTCCTGGGCAACTTTAGGACTTAGTGAGACCCTGTCTCAAAATTTAAAAAGAATTTTTTTTTTTAAGATCTGGGTCTGTAGATCAGTCCAAAGACCCTGTATCCAATCCCCAGCACCTTAAAAAAAAAAAAAAATCAACAAAGGCTGGGAATTTAGCTCAGCGGCATAAGTGCCTGCCTTGAAAGCGTGCAGTTGTACGTTCCATCCCTGGTACCAAAAAAAAAAAAAAAAAAAAAAAATCATCAAATGAGTATTTTAACAACTGACTTGACCTAAGAATACTTTATATCAAAACAAATCTGTCACATCTCTCAGATATAAAGAACCTCAACTCAACAGTGAAAAAATACAATTTAAGTATAGGCAAGGAACTTGAATTTCTCCAAGGAAGATATACAAATGGTCAATATGATGCAAGTATGGCCACCGTCACTCGTCATTAGGGAGGTGAGGACCAGCATCTGCTTAAGATAGCCCTGGTAGGCTCGGAAAGCACAGAAACTGGTGCCTGCGTGGACTGTGCCCGGAATGGGAAATGGTGCATGTGCTGTGGGAAACCGTGTGCTGAGCCCTCAGGAAAACAAAGCAGGGCCTGGAAAGCCAGGGAAGCAGAGGGTGAGCCCTAGGCCGGGGGTCAGGGCTGTTACTCACCCGTCGGAGTTGGGGTCTGGGAGGATGAAACATCTTCACAGGTGAAGCTGATGGTGCACGTTAACATGCACACACTGGCTGCTCCCGAAAGGTAAATTTGGTGTGTATGTTTTACTGCACAGACGCACACATGCACAAACAGAGTTTTGGGGTGCAGGGCTGGAGATTGTCCTTAGGTTCTAGTCCTGGAAATGCCCCTCTGGAGCAAGGCCTGTTCGTGTGACCACTGCACAGGGAGGGTGATGCTGCTGGGCAGCCAACTCGGGGCCACACTGGGCTCCACGATCTGCATTTCCTGTAATAATTTCCAAGATGGGAGAGAAGCGTGAGTCTGCTGGGTCTCAGTCTGAACTTGCGCTTTCCTTTCTGGGCCACCAAA